ATACGTGTCGTCAGACGTAAAGGACCAACAACCACTTACACCATCGCACCTCTTATATGGCAGAAGAATAACAGTCCTACCAAATGAGTCCCTAGAGGAAGATGAGTTGATTGATCCGAACTTCAACGAAAATGTGGAAATCCAAAGAAACGCCAAGAGACTAGTACTACTCCTACAACACTTTGAGCAACGTTGGAGACAAGAGTATCTCACATCCTTGCGAGAATTCCATAAGAATACTGGTACAGAAAAGGAAACTATCAAAGTAGGAGACGTTGTACAAGTCCATGATGATAAATCTCGACTAACATGGAGATTAGCAGTGATCGAAAGTTTAATTTGAGGACGGGATGGACATGTGCGAGCTGCTAACATTCGAACAGCATCCGGAAAGACTAATAGACCCATAACGAAACTTTATCCTCTAGAAGTAGCAGCTAAAACAGAAGAACCAGGCCTCGTAGACAAGGATTGTGTCCAACAAGAAAATGCAGCAACCGAAATTACTCCACGACCGAAACGAACAGCCGCGTGTAAAGCAGTTGAACAAATCAGGAGATGGACCCGAGAACTTCGCGTGCCCCCGGAGGATGTCGTAAATAAGTAGACAAACATTATACATTGATAACATGAAGTATTGACTGTTTTCGCGCCCTTTTTCATGGACGCCATGTTGTTGTTATTCCACGCTTTATATTATCGAAAGAACCTGTATTAATCGTAACAATATACCAATAAATACTTGAAAGCACATATATTTCGAAAAAATTGCATTGCTCTTCTTAGCTAATCAGAATTGAAAATTTTTTCATGTATATTATTAATATTTAAATATTTATATTTTCTACAAAAAAAAACAAACTGTAACTAGTTCGAAAAATAAGTAACTTTGACAGCACTGACCTCTTCAAGATCTCCCCCGTCGCCCAACGTCTGTTCAGCATCCGGGCTCTTGTCTGTTTCAAACTGATATGCACTCATTAACACCTGTTGTTCCTTACAGGTGATCATTGGTTGAATATCACTGACATTTTGAACCCATTCTTCATATTCCGCCAAAATATTTGCATACGAATGCTTCACTTTTTTTTTCACTGTGAACAAAAAGATGGATATTAGGGACATTTACATGGCGAGGGTAGCACCGAAGAGAAATGTTTTTCTTGGTAAAATTTTCGCTGATCCAACCATTAAAAAGTCAATTTTTTTATGCAACCTCAAATATCAATGAAAAAATAAATACCACCCCTGGCCGAAAACTTTACAAAAGGATAACATTCAGTTGTCACACATGTCCTTATAATTACCACTTCTGTGACACGAGTTTGATAACTGCTTGTGCAATTTTCTGCAGTTTAAAGTTTCATGTTGTCTGCACATGTACTTTCTTTGGAGACACCATTTGCTTTCTGGTAAAATCAGAAAATGATCAAGATAGCGACTCTGATTGATTTACATATTGTGTTGACATATATGAATGTTGACATTGCTTTTTAGTCTTCAATATTTGAGTGAGTCATGCTTTGGAAATGACAATAAATTATTACCCAACCCTCAAGTTATTTTGTTTTTCATTTACCCAACCTTTTACTCACTCAAAATTTTGTTTACCCAACCCTTTTCTCTTCGGCGCCACCCCCCCGAGATAAATAATGACCGGCTCCCTAAACATTGAAAGACTAAAAGTACGAAAAATTCTCTTTTAACAGAACTTTATACTGGACAACTCTACCAGTTCTAAACTGTTCTTCATAGAGGTGCTGGTACGTACTTTGTTTGTGGTGGTCAGGGAACGGAACAGATTTTCTAACACCATTTTTTAACCATGGTTTTGATTTCCACCACAATGCGACAGCTTGTTGTCGTCCAACTCTTTGAATAGAAATCAATGTTAAAATTGTGTCATCTATTGACTATTAAGATTAAATTTTAGTTTGTGCATATGTGAGTGATGCTGTACCTTTGCAAAAATGGGGGCGTATTAGGGTGCGTGGTACGTCACTGATGGGTGATTCCGGCTACAGACTAAATTTTGATCTAGGGAAGAAGAAGGAAATCCAACACCACAGCTAGAAAGAGCGTCTTAGAATGAGTAAAACTGCAAAGATTGGTTGCTAAATGTCGTAAAATGAAGAAAATATAGCCCTGTGAAGTTCGCAAATTTTGTATATAATTATTTGCATACGCGCGTTAAAAATAATCACTTTCGGTTCAAAGATGGTTATTTTTCCCGCGCGTTATGCATATATAAAACAGACATTCCAACTCTCCCGATTTTACCGGGAGTCTCCCGAAAATTCATGCAATCTCCCGGTCTCCCGATTTTTATCAAATTCTCCCGATTTATCAGAATATTCAGGAAATATCATAAAAAATGATAAATATACTGTTTTTAGCAACATAATAGTCTGTCTTGACCTTTTTTGAAGTTGCTTTATGGCAATTTATAGGATCACTTATAACAACATATTCCCAAAATGCAGGAAACGCCATTTCAAAAGACTTAATTTTTATTATTTTTCCCCAGAAGAACTAGATTTCAATTCACTGAACAGTCTCCCTAATTTTTACCTCCAGTGGTTGGAATGTCTGATAAAAGATGCGAACTTCGCAGGGATATATTTTTCTCATTTTACAATTACAATTCGCAACTAAACTTTGCAATTTTACTCATTTTAAGATGCTATGTCCAGCTATGGTAATGGTTTCGTTCTTCTTGACTAGGTCAAAATTTCGTCTATAGATGGTCAGATGGAATCATACATTTGATTTAGTAATTACTTGGTACTTACCTGGAATAAACATGATGCCACCACATCTGTGGTATATACACCATATCACCCTCATCCACAGTTGCCTTCAAATAGTGAACATTTTTAACCCTAGGGTACTTCTCCAAATCAACAGAAGCCACATTAATATCTAATACACCAAGTACCCTTGAGCTATCTGCATACAAATCTGCCGAATACTCGGGCGACACCATTAAAACTTCCTTATGACCTTTTACAACACACAACATGTTTTCATCGGTATCAATGTGTATGGCTGACGATGTGTTTCCCTGGCTGAACCAGAAATAGGAAACAAAAAAGTATTTATCAATTTCCTCGCATCTCAAGCACAGAGGCAAAATTATTTCTTTTCTCATATCGGGCGGGACCTCGTCCACTAAATATCGGTCAGCCTGATGGTAGATTCCTAGAAATTCTTTGAGTTTCATGGATTTTGGGATGTTATACTTGTCATCATCTTTTGTTTCCATGTTGAACATCATGTCGCCATAAGTACGCTCTAGGTAATCATCAGTCCAGAGTTTGTATGCAGGCCAGTGTTTCACCGCACCTAAATACAGACATCATCTCAATTAGGGCCGCCGAGGTTAAAAAGTAAACTTTAAAATTTCATTTTCAGGTTAAAAAGTAATTTTTAAAATTTTTATAAGTTAATTTAATACTTTTATTAATTAACCCAGCTTCCCAATTGGCAAGTAAAATCGTCTGGCTTTACACAAGTAAAAAAATATAGGTAGGGCGCATTGGGGCTCAATGGGTTAACAAGAGACATTGTCAGATTTTTTGGTTAACCCATTAAGCTGCAGAGCTTCCCCATTGACGAGCAAAATCATCTGGCGTTAGACAAGTAAAAAAAATAAGTAGGCCGCACCAGAGGCTCAATGGATTAACTAGAGACATTGCCAGATTTTTTGGTTAAACCATTAAGTTGCAGAGCTTCCCCATTGACAAGTAAAATTGTCTGACGTTAGACAAGAAAAAAAAAGTAGGGTGCCCTGGGCCTCAATACAGCAGGTAAGAAAAACAAACTTTTGTGGCGACCAGGAGTTTAGTTTTACTGTACCCACCTTTAATCACAACTGGTTTATGTTTGACAACATACTTCATGTAGAAATCTTGTGGCGATATCATGAATGGTAGCTCTTCCACAATCTCATCAGGAGGTCGATGAGAACCAAACGGTTTTAAATGGCCTCTTGTAAACAGTTCTTCATCTGTAAATTCTTGAACCGTGTATTTGTTTTCGCCATTCTGACAGCAGGAGTCGTGTCCATCGTTCGTAGAACAAGATTGTGATGCAGCGTTAGTGTCAGGTAAACTTGATGCAAGGCAGAGAAAAGCCAATTGTATGGTCCAAAAGTAACGACACGCCAATGACGTCATGGTTGTTTAACTCATTAAGCATCAGCGCTCCCTCCTTGATGTGTAAAATTGTCTGGCATTAGTCAGAGTAAAATAATAAAGTAGGGCATTTCACAGTGCAACTCAATGGTTACAAGCCTGAGAAGTGACAGGCACCACTCAATTACTGGTGTCTGACAAAGTGTCGGCCACCCATGAAAAAATTATTTTCATGCTTGAAAATAACTGGTCAATATCTTCAGTTAGTTGTTAGAACAAACTTAGTGTAGTAATGCACCTCCAAAATCTTCACATCTTACAATATAGAGTTTTACAGCTAGGTTAATTTTGTAGATCAAACGTAACCATGGTTTCTTACTGTATAACTAGCTTGACCAATTTCCCGTCATCAAAATTGTTAACAGTAATATTACCAAAAATATTTTAAATAAAACACTAGTCTGACCAAGGGGCATCCAACACCAATTGACAGTTCCATATAGCCTGTGAATTATTGGCTTAAACTATTAAAACATGTCAAATAACCCAAGGTATGCCCACACTCCCCTGTTGATCAGGGACGACACTGATAGTGTAGGCTATCTGCCAATTGGAACCTCCAAACTTGCACTCTTTCCCCTGGATATGCTAATGGTAGAGATTTCCAGAGGATTGCACTGTTCTGGGGGAGCTGTATTGGATCACAGGTGTACACCCTAAAGCCTGGTTCACATATGCCTGCGGTATGTCTGCGACTGTATCATTATGCCTCTACTTGCCGCTGAAATACCGGCAAAGTTGAACTCAAGTCAACTTTCCCGGCCTACCGCCGATGTAACTGTGGCACTGGAGGCAATTGGCAAACAAATATTCACATAATTTACGTTTTAAGCTGCCACCGGCATCGTCGCCGGCACGTCGCAGGTATATATGTGAACCAGGCTTAACGCAACCCACCCCCACCCCCCACTTCCAAAATCTAAATATATTAATGCATCAAATGTTTGATTTTTCTTTCTTTTATCAAGCAAACATGCTGCATTTTGGAACAATTTCTATAAAAACTTGTACCTAAACTAAAATGCAAAACAGAAACACATCAAATATCGGGTCATTCCATTTATTATCCGCACCCCCCCTATGGATGAGCGGATTCCTACCGGTCAGATATTAGGACTTAGGGGATTCCTACTGGTCAGATATTGGGAATTAACAGATTCCTTTGGCCCGATTCCTACCGGTCAGATATTGCCGTCAAGGTGTAGCATACTATATTGCCAAATATTTATTATGAGAATCATAATAATTTCATTTATTATTCTCACCCCCCCCCCCCCGTCTGACATTGGGAATTAGCAGATTCCTACCGGTGAGATATTGGCAATTAGCAGATTCCTACCAGTGAGATATTGGCAATTAGCAGCATTCCTAGGGTTTAGATTGATACTGTCGATTCCAACAGGGTACTTCTCTGAAATCCGATTCCTACAGGTAACATTTTTACCAGAGCTCATCCATAGGGGGGGTGCGGATAATAAATGGAATGACCCATC